TCCTCCTCCTGCTTCGCCCTCCTCCCCCCCCTCCTCCTCCTCCCTTTCCTCCTCCTCCTCCTCCTCCTCCTCCCCGTCCTCCTCCTCCTCCTGTTCCTCCTCCTCCTCCTCCTGCCTCGCCCTCCTCCCCCCCTCCTCCTCCTCCCGTTCCTCCTCCTCCTCCTCCTCCTCCTCCTCCTCCTCATCCACATCGTCATCTTCATCCTCATCCTCATCCTCCTCATCATCCTGTTCCTCCTCCTCGGCACCCCGAACACTCGCCCCGAGCGGATACGCGATACTGCGCGCGCGGGGGCGCGGAAGGGGGTAGGGAAGGGGGAGGGCGGAGGAGGAGGAGGAGGAGCAGCAGCAGGCGAGGGAGGGGGAGGAGGAGGAGGAGGAGGAGAAGGAGGAGGAGGAGGAGGAGGAGGAAGAGGAACAGGAGGAGGAAGAGGAGGAGGAGAAGGAAGAGGAGGATGAGGAGGAAAAGGACGAGAAGGAGGAGAAGGAGAAGGAGGAGGGGAAGGAGGAGGGGTAGCAGGAGGAGGAGGAAGAGGAGGAGGAGCAGGAGGAGGAAGGCGCGAAGAAAAAGGAGGAGCAATAAGCATGAAGCAAACACCGTGAATATCAAGTGCCTGCCTGGCCGCAAAGAGGCGAGCATTCAGGAGGGACTGGCATCCCCGACGCTGGGAGCAATTGGGCCTACGCTGGGGGCGGAGCGAGGGACAGAGACTTGTGAGGCGGGAGGGAGGGTGGGAGGGATTCTGAAATCATGGAATTCTCACACCTGGTGATTTTAGCTCAGCCCCAAATGACCCTCGCGGAACGATCCAGCGCGAAAAACGCCGCACAAAGATGAGGTCTGGAGCTCTGGCCGCGGTGTGCTACGCTGTTGCCTGCTTTCTCTTGACGTCGAATCGCGGCGAAAAAGGGCGGAGGGGGGTAGGGCGGGGAGGGGGGAGAGATTTCTCACGGAATGTATGTCGGTACGCCTCCTGATCGTCAGAACTGCATTTGTGTGACGCCACGGTCAGGGATCAGAGCACGCTCGGGGACAAGCCTGAGGGGTTTTAGAAGGAGAATGGGGGAGGAGAAAACAGACAAAGCAGAAGACAGGCAGAGTAAAATGATTACAAGACAGAGGTGGCAAGAATCTATATAATAATAATAATAACACTAATAATAATAATCATCATCATCATCATCATCATCATCAGCATCATAAGTGACAAAAATATGAAACTATACTTATTTATATATACACATACGTATATACATACATATACATGTACAAACATAATTATGCATACTTACATACATGAGCACGTACATACATGTACACATCCATGTGTATGTATAAGATTACCAACCGGCTCTGGATTTGACATACAAGTGGAAAGACATTGAGATAATGGCACCACTTGGTTCGCATATTCGGCACGCTGAATTGAACAGAGCTAGATGTGAACATTTGACTCGTGTTTCGAATGCGAACTAATTGATTCCAGATCTACTCACGTCCATGATAAACCCGTAACGCACTACTCAGACCGATACTAAATGCATGCTTAAAAATACTCATTATTGATGTGTGCATCACCGCACTGCCGTGCTCCACTTGCTCCAAACATGAGCACCGTGGAAAACATGCCCAAATTGCTCAAATAATCATGCTGCGTAGACCAAGTTAACCTGACTGAACTGTTCAATTGCTTCGAATGCAATGATTGCTTCGTTGTTGCGAATACCGAACGCGATCTTAAAGTTCCCCGAATTCAATGAAATGCACGCACTTCACATGCTTGACGTTACGTATTAAACTGGCTGGCACAAGGAAGCTTTGACTCAAAACCGTGGACTTCGCATGGTTGGAATCGCTCCAAACGCTCTCACATTAAATTCGACATGATAACCATTTTATCGAAATTCGCGAAATCGGAAGTGCACGCGCACAATCGTGGCAAACTCTGATTAATTTGCTAAACTGCTAGTTAATTACTGCTCCAACTTGCTGAAAACTGCTACAGGATAAACATACGTGCCACAAACAAGCTAACGCGAGCAAGCTGCCGCCCAACACGCTGAAAAATTGCGGAGCATCTGTGTATCACGCGTGCTCTCATCATCTTGCTTCAAATTGCAAAAATTCCATTTCGTTAATAGATGAAAACCAGTCTGCTACATTCCATTAATTACTGAGCTGGCTCGTTGATGTCAACGACTGCTGATGTTCAGCATCATCGCGTTCAACTACCCAGCGCAAACTGCGTTCACGATACAACGCAGATTCGCGATTAAGGATGGGATCTGACGCTTATACGCTGACCCAAAGCGACGCAACGGAAGCAACTTGGCAAAACCGCAGCCAAGTCTGCACTGAAAAGCAACGAACAACTGAAGCGCGCAGAAAATTACAAATCCTTAAAAAGAAAGCATGGGCAAGCGCCGCTACACCGATAGCCAGCGAGCACGAGCTGCGCGAGTGTAGGCTTCCGCGGCGCGTGCGATTTTCCAACGCCGTCAATTTCCTGACTCGAACATGACCCGATGAAATCGGCATCCATTCATGCGCTCTCTCTCGTCTGGTCAAATTGAATACAAGACCGCAGTGGCCTCGCAATGAGCTTCTCCACGATGCGCCATTACCCTCGCGTTTCCCCACACTTCCTGTGCCGCGTGCGCGGGCGGCTCGATAATGACCACATGTCGCAATTCAATACCTGCGAAAACGTCCGTGGGCTGCAAAAACAACAAATCGGAGATCACACGCAATGTCAACTCACCACCCCACCACCCATCATTCGACACGCGATTCAAATCAGGTTTTGAAAGGGGCACGCATCTGTAAGACTCGCAAAATACTCTGGGTAGAAACGCATATGGGCACAAACTCCTTCTTCGCAAAATGGAAAAAAAGGCATCGAGATGTGACCGCTCGCAATCACGGCAGCGACTTGACAGGCGCCATCGCCGGCAAAGGGAAAGCAATATCGGCTCTGCTCCTTCAAAAATGGATATATTAATTTCTTGCTTTCGGTTCCGCTACGTAAATCCACGCCGCTCGTCCGCCCGCCGGCAATATCATCGAACAAAGCTCAGCGCAGTGCATCGCGGCAGGCCCGCGACCCCAGCATTATTTTCAAAACCGCGTTGAAATCCCATCGCCCAGACGGGCGCGCTGCCGCGCCAGGGTCGCAACCGTCCACGTCGTCTTTCGCGCCACTTTTGTGCTTTGGCCAATGATGCAACCCGTGCCGCGGTTTCGACATCTGCGGAAATTAACCGCCGTTGAAACGGGCATTCATATTGGAGCTGAAAACATTGCAAACTTGCAATATTTCTCTCAAAGACGCCACCGCGTCAATACTTCGCACCCAATCAATGCGCCATCAATGCGCGACTCTGTTCAAAAGCAACCGGTGCACGCGTTGCAAAGCCGCGTGGAACTACACAATCAGGCACGCCACAGCGCTCGATGATGCCTTGTTGACCGAAGAAACTCTTCGCGCGCGCAGCTAGACGCGGACGTTTGCCCAACCTACGCGAGGTTCCATGTCCGAAAGAAACTGTGCTGATGCTGTAATGAAATCATCGATGATCGGCAAAGCCTCAAATATCAATGTTATTGTAATGCCTGCTACCTCATCTTTCTCGTTTCCCTCCTGCTCAAAACTGGTTCAGCTGCGTTGCATCCCTCGGCGGATAAATAACGCTTCTCCATAATATGCCTCGGTGGAACGAGAACAAGAACTATCTAGACATCCACCGTCTAATTAGATGGCATCTTCATCTTGTCGGAATACAGATGCGCAAGCATAACGAGTACTTCTTCGCCGTATGCAACAGGGTTCCACGATGGTCTAAGAGAACCCTATCCAGAAAGCCCTAGGAAAGCCATCAAAACTTTCGTGAGGCCCCCAGAGGCTCTCCAAGGAGGCCGCAAAAAGAGCTAAGGAGGATGGTGAAGAATTCGCAAAGTAGGGCGAGAATGAGGAAAAAAAAGACATGGAGGAAGGATAATGAATAACATTACTATAACGGCGATGCCAGAACAAAAAGGCAACAACGAGATATCGCTAAGTTGTCTGTGTGACCTTCCTGCACTTCCACCTGCATGGCAAACTTCGAGGGCCAAGGTGCATGGCGCGAAGAGCCAATGCACTCTTGTTATGTATATAAATATATATAGAGAGATGTAAAAGTGTATAGAGAGATGCATGCACACGCATATATATAGAGAGAGAGGGAAATAAAGAGAGAGAGAGAGGGAGAGAGAGAGACAAAAAAAAGGACACCGAACAGTGGAAGGGAAAGAGGAGGGAGAGCGAGAGAGAGAGAGGAGGCAGCAGCTGACGCGTGCCTCTCCTTCCTGCACGGCTAGGCCCACATCCGCGCGCTCTCTCTCTCTCTCTCTCTCTCCCTCTCTCTTTCTCTCTCTCTCTCTCTTTCTCTCTCTCCCCGTCTCTATCTATGTATCGATATATCCATAGGTGTACGTCTATATATAAATATATATATATATATATATATAAATACGTTATCAAAGTAAGTATACCCTTCTATGAGATCTCGATCGATCTAACAATGTATACCTCCCTCTTTCTGTTTTCTCTCTTTCTCTCTCCCCCTCTCCCACCGACCGCGCGACTTCCGCGAGGAGGAGAGATCGAAGGGAGGGGGAAGCCGCAGCAGGAGCAGGAGGTCTGCCTGCCTCCGCCGCGACCCCCCGACGAGCCCCGCCTGGTGGAGTTCCGCGGCCGCCGCCGGATCGCCTGCGATGGGACGGCGCCGGCCGGCCGGCCAGCCTGGCCCTGCAGGCTCTCGGCCCGCACCGGGCCGCGTCGCTGCTCTTCCTCTCCTCCACCTCCTCCTCCTCCTCTTCCTCCTCCTCCACCTCCTCTTCCTCCTCCCCCTCCTCCTCCTGCTCCTCCTCCTCCTGCTCCTCCTCCCCCTCCTCCTCCTCCTCCTCCTGCTCCTCCTCCTTCTGCTCCTCCTCCTCCTCCTTTCCTCCCCTCCTCCCTCCTCCCTCCTCCGTCCTCCTCTGTTCTCTCTTCCTCCTCCATCTCGTTTCCTTTAAAAAAAAAGCCTCCCTGTCGCATCCGCAGACGTGTCAGCGGGGCGGGCCGGGCGTTTCGCTGGACTAACCAACCTGAAGTTTGAGATTTGCAACAGCTTCACGAATGGAGGGCAGGCGGTTTTCAAAATGCGGTTCTCGCCCCAGCGCCGCGCACATTATTCTGTAGGTGTCGCAGCAGCTTCAAAGATGGAGGGCGGGCAGTTTTCAAATCGTGGCTCGCTCTCGCTTTAGCGCCGCGCACATTCGTCTTAAAAGTTCGCAGCAGCTTCAAAAGTGGAGAGCATCCCTTTTCAAAATGAACCCGGCGCGATCCCAAGCAGCGGATTTCCCTTTGAACATGCACCCTAGCAAACCGGGGAACCCAGGGAACACGAGGAACCCGAGGAACCCGGGGAACCCGAAGAACCCGAGGAACCCGGGAAACCCTGGGAACCCGAGGAGTTCGGGGAACCGAAAGAACTTCCGAGAAACGGCGGGGTCGCGGAACCCGAGGAACCTCCTGGAAACGGGCAAAGCAACACTAGGAGGCACCAGCCTTTAACCAAGCAAGAACCCCTTAGGCAAGCCTACTTGGAGAATGTGGTTTTCAGCTTAGCGCCGCGTGCATACCGCTCAAAAGTTCATAACAGAGTTAAGGATTTCTTGGCCCTGAAAACCGTGTTATGACACGACTTAAGATTGTCAGGACGCAACAGTGACGTTGATTCGCGGTGCTGACATCCAAGACATGGTATTCTGGCATTGCTTAGGATTGTCAGGGCGCAGAGCCACGTTGATGTTTGCCGTTGCAGTACCAAGAACAGAATTGTGACACCAGTTGTCTTCCACTGGGGCACTTCCCGCAATAATGAAAACTTCTTTTAGGAGCCTATGACGAGGGAACTTGGAGGGAGGGTTGATTGCAACATCGTGGAAGGGTCTTCGGTTTACAATGGTCTTCCGCCTCCTCTTCTCCGCCTTCTCCTCGTCCTCGTCCTCGTCCTCCTCCTCCTCCTCCTCCTCCTCCTCCTCCGCCTCCTCCTCATCCACCTCCACCTCGCGCCGCCCGCGGCCATGGCGGACCCAGCGGCTCCACGGGGGCGTCCCGCAGCCAGGCAGCTCTGCTCGGCAGTCCCAGGCTGGCCTCCTGCAGCTGCCCCAGCAGCCCCTGCGAGACACTGCGGGGAAGGACGACTGCGGATGCTTTAGCACAGCGAGGCTGGGCGTGCCGCCAGCAGAATCCAGACTGACGCGCACGCGCTCGGCCAGAAGCAAGGAATTGCTGTCACGCGCATGTGCTCCCCGCGGGAAGCGGCCCTGGACATCGGAGCGCTTGGCGCCCGAACGACCCAGCGTTCACAACATGTCCCGGCGGGACAGCAAAACCACACGTCCAAGACTGGTTTCTCATTTAAGAGGCCGCCTGGTCGAGGCGACCGAATGCAACGACCCAAAAAACGAGCTTGAACCCTGAGGCGGCAGTAGCAGCTCGATGGGCTCCCGGCAGTCTGCGCTTGCTGTGAAGAACGGCAAAGTTGGACATGCCAGGACTGACTGCGAGGCCCACGCACTTTGATCATTGCTGCAGTGGCAAATCGAGAATCCGCGTCGCCCGGGACTGTCATTTGCGGACGCGGTCAGCTGCAATCGTCCTCGACAAGCTCGAGCGCGTGATTTGTAGTATGTTGTTGTGAGCGGCCAAATCGTTCATAGAGAGCACCAGGAATCGACCAGGAACAGAGTGCGGGCAGACGCCGGCGTGTTCGTCGGCGTCGTCGTCGGTGGTGGTACGTCGGCTGTCCTGGTGGTCGTCGTCGTTATCGTTGTCGTCCTGGTCGTCATCGTCGTTGTCGTTGTCGTCCTGGTCGTCGTCGTCCTCGTCATCGTCGTCGTCGCCAACGTCATCATCGTCGTCGTCGCCGTCGTCGTCGATCGTCGTCGTCGTTGTCGTCGTCGCCGCCGTCGTCGTCGTTCGTCGCTCGTCGTCGTCGTCGCTCGTCGTCGTCGTCGTCGTCGTCGTCGTCGTCGTCGTCGTCGTCGTCGTCGTCGTCGTCGTCGTCGTCGTCGTCGTCGTCGTCGTCATCGTCGTCGTCGTCCTCGTCCTCGTCCTCGTCCTCGTCCTTGTCCTCGTCGTCGTCGTCGTCGTCGTCGGCCGAGCCTCCGTGGGAGGCCGCCGCCGGGTGCTGCAAGCGGTCCTCCTGGGCAGCCGGCGCCGCGCCTGCAGAGGAGGCAGGAGGAGGAGGAGGAGCGGGGAGGAGAAGGGAGGACCGAGGAGAGAGGAAGGAGGAGGAGGAGGAGGGGGAGGAGGAGGAGAAGGGGGGGGGAGCGAGGAACGAGGAGGAGGAGGGAGAAGGGAAGGGGAGGAGGGAGGAGGAGAAGGAGGAGGAGGAAGAGGAGGAGCGACGAGGAGGCGCGCACCACCTGGCGCGACGGGAGATCCGAGGCGCGGGCAGCTAAGAGATGGAGCGCCCTCCAGGGGGAGTGACTTACCAGGGCCTGGAAAGAAACGCAAGGCCCTGAACAGTACGGGGGGGGCCATCAAATTTTTGCAGCACCTACCTCGGCCAGGCGGCCGAGGTGGTACCCGACAGCCCCCCCCCTTTAAATCGGTTCAAGTGGCTTCCCCGTACGCGGGTGGAGGCCACGAGACGCATACTTAATCTTGGTCGCCTGGGAACTCCGAGTCGATGGGTGCTGGGAACGACCAAGACAACGCTTCTCGAGCCCACGTAAAAGACCCCCTGGGAGGATAACGTGGGACGAGCACAACGAGCAAAAGGCCACTCGGCCGACCTGCTCCATCTGATGGCCCAGGGACACAAACCGAGCAGTGAGAGTTTCGGTCGGCGGCGCCTGGGCCTGGCCAGGAGCGGACCCCAGGACCCCCGCAGCAGCCTCGAGCGCCGCAGGCGCCGCTTCCGAAGAGAAAGCCACCCCCTCCTCTTCCCGCGTAACGAACACCGCCTGCGCCTGCCACGCCTGGAACGCGCTGGGCCCGCAGTGGCGGCGGCTGCCAGAACGGAGTTGGGCGAGGGAGGAGGGGGTCTTGGCATACAAATTGCAACGCTTGCATCGCCACTCCCCCAGAGACGGGAAGTGGTACAGCTCGTGCTCGATCAGCGCGAGGCCGCACTCTCCTTCACGCTCTCGACGCCGCGGGACAGGAGACGAGGCCCGAGAGCTCCTGGGCACACGCATCAATACTCTGAGCAAATCTGGACAGAAAATCGAAAGTCAGACGCGTCTGAGAGATCACGGAGCTCTGGACCTTCTCAAGCTTCTTAGCCGCAGCGTGGGAGTCTGCTCCGATGCGCGCGAAAAAATCGGCCCAGGTGCTCCCCCCAAAAAATGGCACCTCGACCTCGGATCCCGACGCGACCACACCATCCCAATCACGGTGAGATGGGGTCCATTCGAAAGACGGCCTGGGACCAGGGCTACCATATAACTGAAATACCTGCCTCCAGACAGCCGCGTGGCGCCCACCACTGGCCGCCAGGCCAGGGTCCCAAGACTGCCCCTCCAGGACCGCGCTCAAATGGTCTGACACCACATGCACATTCAGGGGGGCGACTCGAAGCGCCTGGAGAACCGCAAACCGCTCGGCCCGAGGCACAGTCTGGGCGCCGCCAAGCAAACCCCCGAGACGGGCCCGAATCGGGAGCCCACGAGGGCCCAGCTCGACCACGGCCCAGCCACACCGTCTAAGTTCGGGGCTGCTGCTGCTCAGCCCCGAACCGTCGGCGCAGACGCGCCGCCCCCATGGCGCTGCGGCCTCGCCCCACGTGCACACAGGGAGCTTGTCGGGGACAGGGTCGAGAGCGACGGGGTCGAGCGGGGGGCCACACAAGGCCTCAAGAGAGCTCCAGACCTGCGCGCCCATATCAAAACGACCTGTGTCCCTGAGCTCAGACCTGCGCAAAAGAACACCATCGGGAATACAGTTGCCCTGGGGCGCTGGGTAGTTCAACACGGCGCCACAGTCATAAAGCTGGTGGCCGAGAGGGCCTACAACATTCATGCCGCACAGAGTACAAGTACTGCTGTCGTTCAGGCCAACCTCATATTTTCTCTCTTGCGACCACAAGGCATTGCCGGTCAAGCAGCGGAGAGCGGCACGACGGGCACTGCCGCGAATCTTAAGGACGGCTATTCGCACACCTCGATGCCACAAGCGCTCGGACCCAGCCTGAGGGAGGTGGGCCAAAATCTTCTTGGCTTGCCACCTCTGGATCCCCGACCGAAGCTGTACCTTCACATCGAGCGGGGCGGTTCGCAACAGGTCAATCGAAAAACCTCGGTCGTCCACATGCACGCGCGCAGCAGACATAGACCAGCCCACGCGGTGCAAGCTGAGAAGCACCGCGCTAGTTGGGCCACGACATGACTTCCACGTCGGCCGCACGAGGATCCCATCCACGCTTTTTGGAGTCGGCCTAGCGAGAACCTCGAGTCCCATATTACAGCTGCATAGCGTTGGACTAGCGGCGCCGTCGCGTCGAATATGGGTCATAAAAGGGGCCAGGCCGCGTCGCAAGCCAGGCCGTCAAGGACCCAGATCGCTTCGCGCCCACTAAGGTTCCCGCCATGGCGCGGAGGGCCCCAAGGGTCGGATCCGCGAGCCCGGAAACCCCAGCCCCATGCGACCCAGCAGGCCTAGTGCGCCATAAAAGACTCACCTTGCTGGGCGCAGCTCGACGGAGGGCAGCCAACTTGCCCCGACGCCGAAGCAGTTTCTTGAGACGGAGCTTTTCTTGGGCCCGCACATGCCGCCCAGGAAAAAAACGACAACACAACAAACCAAAACAAAAAACTCATGGCCAAGGTTACGCATATGGGCATGGCTGCGGAGTTTGACCAGACGGGCCGACGACGCCAGGTTCGACGACACTTTCACCGCCGTAGCCACATACCCACTCTTGGCCGCTTGGAGGATTAAACCCAGCTGGAGGACCTGGCTGCAATACATCTTACCACGGCCAATAAGATCTCAATAAACTTAAACAGCCTGCCAACCCACTGGAAACTGGAATCATCCAAGAGGGCCCTGGGCCTGACCGTGGGGTAAAGGGTCCTCATCTTAAAAATCACACGGTGGAGGAGCACGCGCATCATAGAGTCGGCGTGGCTACATCCTGCAAGGATGCATTGGTCGGTCACAACCTGCCGCGACACAGAACCGAACGCCTGGATCACCCCCGGGCACCGATAGGATGCAAGGACCATCCACATCATCCGAAGCGGGTCGCCATACTCCCTGGCTTCGGCGAAAAGTCGCTCCACGATAACACATTCGCAACATTTAAAAATGTCCAAGACTACGCTCACAGAATACTCCCCCACCGCCGTGGCCGCCTCCGCCTCCACATTGTGGTCAAAGGAGGCGTCAGACGCACTAGCCCCTGGACCATGGCCCCAGAACGAAGGGTCACGATTCGCCTTCTCCCAGGCCTGGGAGACAGGTTTCCCCACCCGCCTCAAAAGGCGGAGCAGAGAATTCAAAAGCGCAATCAACCGATGCCCCCCAGAGGGTTTGGGCAAACGGACTAAACCGGCTTGGATCCGAGACTCAGGCCAAGCGAGGAGCCTCTCGCAGGCCTTGAACAAATCGGCCACATATTGCAAGCACTGAGCAGAGACAGCGAACATGGACCTAGGGTTCAAACCGAGCTGGCCCAAGGCGGTTCTGCTATGAAACGAAGCGCGCGCCCTACGAAGGTCGGCGACCGAGATATCAGGCAAAGCCTCCCAGTCATGGTGGTCTCTAGGAAGGCCCGCTCGACCGCAACTCTGCATCTTCCAGAATGCCCCCCACTCCGCGAGGCAGTCGCCTGCCTGCTGGAAGGGCCGCGGCCGAGGCGCCTGCGCAATCAACTCCTGCACCTCACGAACGCGAGAGAACTTGCGTGCAACCTCTGCTCCTATGGCAAAGGCCTGCTCGACCCACTGCTTCCAGTCAGCCCGTGAAGCGTCAGCAAACTCATGCAGCTTGACATCGACCTCAACAAGGAATCCCTGAACGACGTCGCCGAACTCTGCTCTACTGAAGCTGGAGGGCACGTCCACAAAAAAAAACCCTGCAGGTCTCCGTAGTCTCCTCCAGCACCCAAGACGACCTACGAATGCGATTCCGAACCCCCTGAAGGAAATAGAACTGCTTGGATATCTGCTCCAATCTCTCATCCGCGGGGCCGATGGCATACCGACGGCGAGCTGACACAACTTGGAGCGGACCGAGCGCATGTGTCGCAACCATCGGCCCAGAGCACGCCACGTAAGCTCCGCCTTCGGCTGAGAGGGGGCTTGCTTCGGCAGCGGCTTCCACGAATAAGAAGGTGGGCCAGCGCGCCCACAGAACTTCCGCCGCTCTGAGGCCTTCACGATGTCGTTGCGGTCGCAGAGCTCGGCCTCAATGCCTGCTAGAACATCGCCCCAGCAAGAAGCCAACTCATCTTCCGAAGCTGCGTAGCTTATGAGTGACTGGATCTGGGCCCACTCCTCGACGGGGGGAAACCTCGCACAGCCAACCTTCGGCTCAGCTCCAAACTTCTGAGGCTCATCAGGAACGCGACGACGCATGCTTCTCTCCGCCATGCCCAGCTCAAGAAGAACGGGTTTGCGCGGAAAGAGGTCAGCCCTTTCCTCGACGGTCAGCTCGCCCACTGCAGGGGCCAGGGACAACGATGCGAAGAAGAAGTGACGCACCGTGCCTGGGAGCGTCTGCACACACGTGGGCACCTGGGGCGCCGCGCGAATGGCTCCTGCAGCGTGGAACCAGTCGTCCAGCAGGTCACCCTCCATGTTCCAGTCCCCGCCTATGACCCACGCAATGCCCTGGCGCGACAGCTGGCTGGCGTAGTCGATGGCCGCCTGCACAATCTCCAAGTTCTGGGCTCCAAGGCCCTCTCCAACCGCTAAGTACACGGAGAGCAGGACGACGCCGCCTGCGCGGCCCCAGTGAGCATGCGCAGCCACCAGGCGCCCTGGGATCAGCACGCGGTCAGCGCGCTGAGGAGGGGCTGAGACCAGAACGTGAGCAGGAGCGATCACGGCTACACCACCGCATGAACCTCCTCTGCCTGTGTCAGTCGCTTCCGCCCACACACCACGAAAACCTTTGGCGGCCGCCTTGGACTGCAACTCAGCAAAACGGTCGCCTCTCGCGTGGTGCTCCTGCACAAGTATCAGATAACTATCAAAACATTGACTACTCAGCATATCTAACAGCGGTCCGTGGGAGCATGTGTTAGCTGTAGCCACTCCTCGTATCGGACTCGGCATGCTCGACCCGCCTGGGACGTCACTGTGCCCCGGCACTGTGCGTGATAAAATTCGATCACCGCGTGCGACAAAGGGTTTGGACGAGGGGGCCTCCAACGTCTCGAGCACCACGGCGCCCGACCTCGGAAACATGTAGTCTGACAGGTGGAACTTAGGCGCGTGCCCATCTCCAGCTGCCACTTCGCATAGTGGGGCCGCGTCCCCTGCCCCAGGCTCCGCCTCAGCTCCAGCGGCGGCGGCAGCCGCCTGCTGGAGCAAACCGGCATCTCCACGGCCACCACGAGGATGCGCTGGCGCCTTCCTGACCCCTCTGCCCGCTCGCGCGAGGCGCCCCAGGCTGCTGGTGCCCCCAGCGTCACGGGTGATTGCGGCACCACAGGAAGCACCAGCCATAGCCACGCCGCCGAGCCCTGAAGACGCCGAAGACGCAGGACGTGAGGCAGCAAGGGCCGCGCCCCCTGCCCCAGGGTCCGCCCTTTCTCCCGCGGCGGCGGCGGCCGCCCGCGGGAGCAAGTGGACAGGCAGTACACGCCCATCGTGGCACCTCGGCATCGCACCAGCGGGGCTGAGGAGCTGCAGCAGGATCACGGCGCCCAGCCACAGCTTACCTATTGGCGATGCGAGGCCGCTTCGGCGCCCTGCTGAGCTGCTCGCCGAACCGCTTGATGAGTCCTCGAAGCTCCTCCTCGCTGCCAGGGGGCTCAGCGTCGAAGACCTCACGGTAGAAGGTTTGCAGCTCGGCCAGGTCGCCGTCGTCGGCAGGGACTGGAAGAAGCACGGCGTCGTCGTCAGCCTCTGCACCTGCGCTGCTCGCCGCGGCGCTGGCGGGCGACTCGGCCGAAGCTGCTCTCTCCTATGTACGGCTTCGCGCCGCTGCAGCAGCATCGAGCTCGCGCAACTTCGCGAAGTTAGCCTGGATTGACTCGGCCAACGACGAATCCGCGCCGATCGCCTCCAACATCTTGCCAACATCGGCGACCGACAAGTCCAGGGCGGGGATCGTCGCTTTGAGAGAGTAGACGCCTGCCTCTGGGCGAGGCGCCAGCGCCGCGGCGCTGCGCCTGTCCGCCTCCGCGGCCACGAGCTCCTTGGACGTCTCCAGCAGCGCCTTCTCAGCTTCGGCGACAGCCATCTGGATCTCGTGGATCTGCGCGTGGAGCTTGTCCAAGGCGGCGAGCTGGCGCTCCTTCTTCTTCTCAAGCGCCGTGCAGCGGTTGGTGAGGAGGTGGAGGCGAGCGCCGATCGGCTTGTCGGCCAAGATCTTGGCCCTGAGCCTCTCTTGCTCCGCCACCATAGCTGCCTTGTGCGACACCAGGAGCTCGTCAGGGGCGTCCCCGATGGCGGCGATGGCAGCAGTGAGCTGCTCGAGCGCCGCCTTGTCAGCCTCCGAGCCGACGGGCTTGTCACCAGAGCTGTCGACCTGCGTCGCCGCGGCCCCGCCACCCGACTGCCTCGAGGCCTCGAGCTGCTTCTTGAGATCATGGACCTCGCGTTCCTTGGCGGCGGCCTCCTTCTTGAGTCGCTCTCCCTCGGCGGCAGCACGACGCTCGGCAGCAAGAGACCGCGGGGCCTGCGCAGCGCTCGCCCCTTTGCCCCCTGCTGGTGGGCGCGGACCGAAGTAGGCTGCACCCTTGGCGAGCTTGCACGACTTGCAGTGCGTGCAATCCGCCCGATTGGGAGGATGAGAGCGGAGAGGAAGGGGGGGCAGTCTAGATGCGCTCGCGCCATGTCTGACATCCTGTCCCTCTCACCCGTCCCTTCCAGGCGTGCTGAATTCCGTTGTTGTCCGCCGACTGGGGGTGTCCCAGATGATGTTGATCCCCAAAATGACCCCATCGTGTGACGCACAACAAGGAAGCGGGCGGGCCTTATGCACGTGAGGAGGAGGAGGTGGCGGATGAGCAGGAGGATGAGCATGAGTAAGAGGAGGACGATGAGGACGGAGGAGGAGGAGGAGTACAAGGATCAGCCGAAGGCTACGATCCCAGTCGATCCAAGTTTGCCGAACGTCAACAAAAAGGATGATCAGCATCAAGCAGGAGGAGCAGGAGGAAAAAGAGAAGCAGGAGGACCAGGGGGAGAAGCGGGCGGCAACGGCAAGAAAAAAGCATACGCGGGAGAGGCCGCGCACGCGCACAGAACAGCATCAGAGGATAGAGGATAGTAGTCTTCATATGGAGTCATTGTGAAGGAAGAAGGTAGAAACGAACGAACGAACGGGCCTGGCCGAGACTTGGTTTGTGAGGCCGTGGCCTCTGCATGGTGCAGAGGCCGTGGTCTCTGCATGGTGCTTACCGCTGCTTCGCGCGATACATGAGTTGGCGGATGCCCCGGGAGCAGCGGAGGGAGAGGGGATAGGTCCAGCAAGACGAGGGCCGGCCAGATGAGTACAGGCGCTCGGCGCAAGAACGGGAGGCGCTCTCTGGCGGACACAGGCGGTACAGCAAACATAATTGTCCGCCGTCGGGGACGCCTCTCGCGGGGCGGCTAGAGAGGTTATGCCCCCGCGGTGGCACGTCGGAGTAAAACTTGTTTTCAGCCGCCCCGGGGCAAGCGCCCCAGACGGCGGATAGGCTCTCGTGTTATGATTAAGTCGGGCATGTCATCCTACAGGCGGATTCTGAAGGAGAAAAAAAAGTAGTCCGAAGATATCCAAAAATAATCAAAAGTAGTCGAAACATTGT